ATAGATTTTTTTGTCAAAATTATTTAAATAATTATATATTTTTGAATCTATGTATAAATTCAAATTATTAACTATTATCAAACTATGTACGCATTTAGTCTATGCGTTATTGAAAAACAGATACAATTGCTATAACATTATTGCAATGAAATCGTTTAAATTATTTAAAAATTATTTATAACAATTTAAATATTAATTTATTGCATTAATTAATCCATTGTAATAATAATTTATTATATTATTTGACAATTTCACACTTAGTATTTTATAAATGATATTTCCAAAAGTGTATAAAATGTTAATTTAATTAACATAATTGTATAATTTAGTTAATTTTAATGATTTATTTTATTGTAGATTTATATTAAATAAATAGTAGTTTCAATTGCAATATACTATGCATTCTAGAGTTCTATAAATGAGATTATTATACTTTTTCATAAAATACATAAACAAATTACTATAAATTATATATTTTATATAAAACGTAAATAAATTTAAACATTAAATGCAAATCTTATTTATTTTGCAAACAATGATTTCACTAGAAGTGCTATAAATATATTCAGTAATTTTATACTTATGTTAAAAATTTAATAATATTATTAACTTAAATAAAAGTCACTAAAAATATTAGTTTAATGGACTACAAAAAATATATACAATATATTATATAATAGAGTATATATGACATATATTATATGTATATATAGTACTTAAATAATAAGTTAATATGCAAAATATGAATTCATTTGAGACTATATTTTGTTTAAAAATAAAAGTTTTTAAGACTTAAAAATATATTTTTTTAATGTTCTTAAATATTTTTTATAATGTCAATACATTTCTTTTAAATTATTTAATTTGTTAATTGAGTAAAATTATTATTTAGATTATCTGATCTGAATGAGTAAAAATTAGACAATAATATTATTACTTATCAGATGATCTAATTGTTTTTTAGATCATTTTTATAATAATAAAATAGCATCACTAACAAATTATAAAAATAATTTATATCATTAAAATGATATAAATTATTTTTATAATTTGTTAGTGATGCTATTTTATTATTATATTATTTAAATATTTTTTTTATTAATAAATATAGAATTTATTATTTTTAAATACAAACAGTAAATACAGTATTATAAATAAATATTTTTATTATTGTATACCCAAAAAATATGTTAAAATGATTTAATGATTTACACCTAAAGGCATGCTTTTAATTAATTGTTTAGAATATATCATCTAAATTAAGGGATTATATTGATATCGCTAGACTTCACTATAAATTAGTTTTCACTGTAATATCTCATTAGATGTTTTATATAAGGGGCGATTCACATATTACGTTTGCACTTTTTAAGAAATCTAGACCCCTCCCTCCCCTATGTTCGCAATTATTCGCATTTAGTCAATAAAAAAATTACGTTTGCATGTCCCTAACCGCTACCCCCCCCCACCACAAGAAATAAAATATTATTTAAATGCGAACGTTCTTAAAGTCTCTACCCCTCCCCTCGTTCGCAAAAGTTCGTTTTGGTAAACCCCCTCTTCTCAAGTGCGAACGTAATATGTGAATCACCCCTAATATATAACTAAATAAATCATGCATGTAGAAATTATAAATACTGATAATTTAAAAGTAAGTACACTTTTATTGGATTATTATAAGCTTTAAATTTATTTTGTTTTTTAGCATAATAGTAAAAAATGTATATAGATTATATATACAACAGTTGATACAATTTCAAGTTTATCCTAATACAGAAATTAAATTATTAAAATATATAAATTTTTAATTTAAGCGTTAAATATGATGTACCAATTTTAATAATTTAATAATTATTAATAAATTCTAATTATAATTTTTAAGATTAAAGTTATTTTAGCAAAATTACAAGTTATAAAGCATACAGGTTTAAATATATAGAATTTTTATAATAATTTTCAAAAAAGCTAAATCTATATATTACATAATTATTTACATTAATATAATTCTATTAATATATAATTTTTCTATTTAACTAAATTTTTGTTTTTTAATTTTTTACTTAAACTAAAAAGTTAATACTATATTTAGTTAAGCTTTAATACAGTAATTCATTATTTACATTATTAAAAAATTATTATACTATTTGTTAAATGTTTAAATGACATAGTTTTTCTCAAACTTTTATTTTTAGCCAGAAGTTATTATAATTTTTTATTTTACATTTATAACTTACTGCCTATAATTAATTTTTTTTCGTTTATGAATCAATTAAAAATTTTATATTAAAAATAAAAGTAAATTTTTTATTTATTATTATTATTATAATTTTAGTTATTAAAAGACATTTTAATGCAATGATTTTACGCATAAAGAAACTTTAATAGTTTATTATTAAAGAATAATTTTTACTATTTTAATGTTTACTAAAATTTTAAATGCAATAATAAATAAATTATAAATAGTATTTTAGTAAACAGTTGTATGTTTTGTTGTAAAAGTAAAAAGCTTTTTTGAATAAATACAAAAATATAATAGTACTAAAAAATTTAATATCATTTAATGCATACGACTTAAGTCATAAACTTTATTTTGCAATAAACAACAAAAACATTTTTATAAACATTAAAAATACTTAGTTATAAATAAATAGACAAAATTATAAAATTGATTAAAAAGAAACAATTATTATAATTAGTTTTTATTAATTATTAAAAAGTATGCAGGTGGTTTCTATAATTTACCACTATATAGTCATTTATGCGCTTAATGTCATATTTCTAATATAGATTTTAATCACTATTTATGATTAATGAAAATGTTTTAGATGTATTTAATTATATTTAATTATTTTTTCTTAATATTAAACATTTAACAAATTTGTTTATCTTAACAAAAACCATTTCAAATTTCCTCTAAGTTTAATGTAATCGGAAATAATAGAAGCAAACTGTAAACCAATAAACTAACATACAATAGATGTTGTATTTTACACAATCATTAAACTTATTTTAGATATATATATATTTCTAACAGAATTGGTCTAAAATTAAATACAATATAATTGAGGTTTATTTGACCAAAAATTAGTTAACACAAACTAACTGTTGTTAAGAGTTTAATTTAGTCAAAACAAATTATTAAAATAACTTTTAATTGACTAAAACTTATTTTTATCCAATTCAATGTTTATCAAAACTCATTGAATTTAAATCAATTGATAAACTACTTATCTATAATTATACCATTGTATTACTAAGTTAATATTAACCATTTAAACTATTTATTTCATATAACTTAAATTAGAAAACTTTACATTTTTAGCAATTTTTCCAATTTAATTATCGCAGTTTAGATCAAATAATTCAGTCTCAATTAAATCTAATACTTTAATTTAGTGAAAGTTGAGTCAAATAAAAAATATTTGTTTCAAATAATTTATTTTTGATAAAGTGATGTAATCATTGTAATAGACGTCAATATTATAGGAATGAATTATACAATCAAACATTTAAGAAAATTAAGATTTTTATAAATATTAATCAAAAGATACGATTTTTATTTTAGAATTACGGACGTCCTTTCAGAATAAACCAAAGGATATAGTTTTAATACAATGTATTCAGTAGTTTACATTGTTATAATAATTTCAGGGTTAAGCAAGGTTTTGGATTTTAGGGGGGGGTATTGGGTGGGGTAAGATTTTTATTGCATTTTTATACGGCAATTTTTTCAAAAATCCAAAATCAAGGGGGGGGTCAAGAAAAAATTCCCTAAAAATTCCTTAAGTTCCCGAATATTCCCATGTAAATTCAATAAAATTCCCATAAGTTCCCGTATAAATTCCCGGGAAAATAGGTAAAATTTCCAAAAATATAAAAAAAAACTTAAAAATTAACAAAAACTTAAATTTTAACAAAAAATAATTTTTTTTTAAATTTTGAAAATTAATAAAAACAAATTTTAACAAAAAATAAAATAATGTATTTAAGATTTAAAAATAGTTGATAAAAGCATTAATAATACACTATGAGTTATTTTTAGTATTTTAATAATTTTTAACTTTTAACATAATTAATTTTTTAAATAATACTTAATGTTCATAGTTTATAGATATATAATTTTATTTTTAATGTTATTTTTATATAAATACTGACTGAATACTAATTATTAAATTCAAAATTTTTTAGATTTTTTAGTTAAAATTTTAAAAATTATTAATAAAAATCTTGTAATATAAGTATTTATTGTTTTATTAACTTATTAAACTATCTTAAACTTAATATTATATTGTAATATGATTACTTTTTTCAACAAATAGGTAATTTTTAATTTTTTAGTTTAATATTTTAATTAAAATTGTTATTTTTTCATGAGTTTTAACGTTATTTTAACTATTTTATTTATTTTTAATCAATAATTAGATTCATATAAATTTTAAAAACATATAAACACTAAAAAAACTAAAATTAAAATTTTTAAAAACTTAAAAAAATTTTCGGCGCCTTGGCGCCGAAATTTTAGGGGGGGGTCATTTCTCCTCGTTTTTAAGCGACAATTTTTCCCATTTGGTCAAAAAGTCTGGGGGGGTAAAATCCCAAAATCTCGATCTTAGGGGGGTATTTTGGCCTTACCCCCCCTTACTTAACCCTGAATAATTTGTATATTTAGGTTATTGTAAAACACTTGTTTGATTAAATTATTAAAAAGAACATTGATAATATACAAAATATAAATAAAATTGTTAATTACATTAACTATTATGAAATTATTAATATTTATAATTTATATTATTTTAATTTATAAAATACAAAAATTAAAAATTTATAAATTTTTTATTGAATAAATTCTGTAACACATTAAATTTATTTATTTAATGTATATAGAAATATATAAAGTATACTTCTTAAAAACTATTTTACAAATAATATTTTAACTATAAGTACAATATATATTATTATTTTTATAAATAAATTAAGTTTAAAAAACTTAAATTTCATACCATTTAAATCAGCCAACGATTTTTGACAATCGAAATCAATTAGATATGAGTTGCCATTTGTAAATGAAATAGTAGTTATTGTTAACAAAATTAACTTAAAACATGAAATTAGCATTATTTAAATAATTTTATTTGCTTGATAAATTTTATTTAAAAGTAATTTTTGTGATTGTATAGCTTATAATAAATAATTATCTTTGAAAATAAGTTACTATTTCAATCTGTAATAATTAGTATATAATATAAATTTTATAAATAGTAAATTTAAAAACTTTATATTTAAATTTTGCTTAAAATACACAAATTTATTATCAAGAAAAATGAAAACTCTTAAAATAAAAAATCTTTTAAATTAATAAATTTATTTATTTGTGAACAACTTTTATATATAATTCCTGTACTCTATTTGTTTCAATCTTTGAATAGTGAATAATGACTTAGAGAGTAGTATTGAGAGCTCTGTTAGTTTATAGCAGACGCCGACACTTTTAAAACACAGACCAACCAAAACTATACATCTCTATGACGTATGAATTTGTGATCAAGTTTTGCCTTTTATTGTATCACTCACTATAGGATTTGTTTGAAATGTGTTACTATTTTTTAACCATTGAATATATACATGATATACTTGTATATAATACTGTATGATATACTGTATAAATACATACCTAACCTTTATGTCAGAGTGTGATTAAAAAAAATGAGTAAATCCTATATAAAGTTTTTACACCTGATTTACTTAATTTATATATTTTTATTAAATATCTTTTTTAATATTCAAGAAATGCTGATTTGGTTAAACACATGATTATAAAGAATATAATAATAATATACTTTATTAACATTTTTTTTGGTTAAAACATTTTTTTTGGTTAAAACGTTCTTCAATAATACTATACAGTATTTGAATAATATAAATGCAGTAAATAAATAAAATTTATCTTGAGTTATGTATTATTAATCTGTATATTTACTAAAAATACAAATTATTTTTATAATAGACAAATTCATTTAATATAATGTAATAAAAAACTATAAAACTAATAAAAATAGTTGTTTTGTGAATATATTCAAAACATGTGATTAGAAAAAGCAATTATAATATTGAATTCAGTCCTTTATGTCAGAAAAGTTTATTATCTCAATAATTGTCTCATTCAATGAATTGATTGTCACATTTAGATAATAACAAAACATATAAAAATAAAACATTTATCATCAATAGATACATAGATATAACACGTTTACACAATACCTATAATATATTATAACAAATATCCCAAATGTAATAACAGTTAATGTATTTTATTATATGATACTAACCCAAACCTAATGTTAATATAATATTTTTTTTATAATAAATACAGTATATATTGTAATAAGCAAAAAATGAATAGCATCAAATGATTTTGATCTCCCAGTTATGCTTAATAAATATTAATTATGAGTTTAATATAAAAAATAATTTTTACTAGAATTTTGATTTAATATAAAGTATTATAATAAATCACTTTAATTAATCCATTGCTACAAAAAAATTGATAATAAATTTTAATAATAAAACAACAGATATGTGTAGTTAAGTTTTATACATTAGATGAGTATATAAATAATGTAAATCTTTTTTGTTGTTGTATTGATTGACTCTTCTTTTTTTTTGTCAAAATTCACAACAAATTTACTGTTTATTCTGTATTAAACACTATATATTGTATATAAGAAATAAGGTAATCACGAGTTAATGAAAACCACTTGATATATATATATATATATACAGTATATATATATATATATATTTAGAATATGCATATGAGTACTGCCATCAAATGCAATGCATTATCAAATTAGGTAAAAGTTAGTGTTGTTTACCAGAGAGTTATATGTGCTTTGGAACGGTATGTCATTAGACACTATCCTCTATTCTAATCATATATTATATTATATACACTATTACAGTACAGTATGTGATCAAAGATTATATTATATGTATGAAAGCAATACCTATGAGATTATATGTGACGAACAAAATAAAAACAAAAAATATAAAGTTATTGTTTTAAATCATGCTATTAATATATTTTTTATAACCAAAAAAATCACAATAAATTTGTACTTGCTCATTTCATATAAATTAATTTTAAACATAAATATTTTTATTTGTTTTTTAACATTTTGTTTTATGTATTGTAAGTTTGAACCAAAAAACATATACAGTATGTATTAATAAAGTATTGCATAAACTCTTAGAATTATAATTAAATTTATTAATAGTATTTTATACATCATTACTATTTAGTTTTTTGAACACAATTATAATATTATATTATAAATATTGTAAATTTTAAAATTGTGAACATAAAAAAATTAATTGACGATATATTTATATTATTAGTATTACTGTATTTATTTATGCATATCTTTGCTTTTATTATTTTCAAATGTCATTTATGATAATACAATATATTTTCTTTATAATACATGTAAACATTTTATTTAGTTTATAAAATGTAAATATGTTAAAAACAGTAATTAGATTTAGCAAACAAACATTACTATAATACATCATAATAACGCTAGGCGTAGTTCACATATTACGTTCGCACTTTTTAAGAAATCTAGACCCCCTCCCTCCCCTATGTTTTCGCAATTGTTCGCATGCATACTTTATATCGACGCGACAGAGAGGCAATACTATCAATGCTAGAGAGAGATATCTGACGTCATAACTTATATCCCTCTCTAGCATTAATGGTATTGCCTCTCCGTCACGTCGATATAAAGTATGTTCGCATGTAATCATTTAAAAAATTACGTTCGCCTGTACCTAACCGCTACCCCTTTCTACCACAAGAAATAAAATATCTAAATGCGAACGTTCTTAAAATCTCTACCCATCCCCTCCCCCTCGTTCGAAAAAGTTCGCTTTGGCTAACCCCCCTCCCCTCAAGTGCGAACGTAATATGTGAACCACGCCCTATTACTTATTATTGTCATAATCTTATTAGTTTAAATAGTATTAAAAATAAATAATTTATGAAAGTCTTCAAATTTATTTTATAATATTTTAAAATTATGATATTTAATTTTTTATAAAAATTATGACTAATAATTCACATCAACAATTTTTGTCTAATCAAACAATATTTAAAATTATTTTTATACTAAAACTTTTATTTTCATAAAAATTTAACTTGATTTGATTAAAATATAATGATAAAATGTTATTTGTATTGTATTATGATTTTTCAGTTATTATTTATGTTTTAAATATCTGATATAAATAAAATGAAAATTTTAAGTAAAAAATTCAAATATTTTCTTATGTTAAGTCTGTCTTTATTAATGGGTTTGTCTATAAGATTATTAAAAAAAAATTATTAAATATAAATCAATGTTTTAAATACAAATATACATTACTTAACATATTGAGTATATTATATAATGGATTGATATATTAATATTTATGAATTATAAATTATTACATTTATTAATTAAAAAATAATTAATTTAATAATTCATAATCTATTATTTTTATCTTATATTATGTTTATTTAATAGCAATAAATCAATTAATACATTGTTTGAAATATCATAATTTGATTCAATGGGACAAATAAATTGTTGATTAACGTTAAGGATTGTCATTAATTCAATAGTTTTTATTACTTTGATTGCTATTTCATGATTAGAAATGTCAGCAAATGAGCCAATCATTACTCGGATTTCATTAATATATTAATACCATATAAACTATTTTGTTTATATAATATGCACCAAATATTCACATTCATTGAATATACTGTATTAATATAAAACTATCCATTAATTAGTATTGTATAAATTTATATATTTAGTTAATGCTTTTATATATAAATAAAACTTCAGTATATTTTCTATGAATAAAATAATAGTGTATTTATAAATTAACAGCAAATACACAATATTGTATACTTTTTTAACAATTAGTAGTGTTAAATCAACAAATAAAACATAAAGTTACTTATTTTATAACAATTATTCATTTTAATTATACCAATTAATATATAGTATTTAAAACATTAAAATTGTCTATTTATATATTATATAATATTTTACTATAATACTGACATAATATAGTGTAAGTTATATATAAAGTAAATATAATGGTTATTTCATTTTATAGAAACATACAATATATGTATCTTTTTTCTCTTTATTTTAATACAAAGGCACTCATCAATTGATACCGCAGGACATGATTACTACAAAACTTACCCAAAATATAAAAGGCATAACTTTTTTATTGAATCATACAATTTGAGAGAACATTATTATAAGAGAATAACATATTTTGTTTATTTTTTTGTAAATAAATATCTAATAAATAAAAAATAATATGACATTACTTTTTTATTTTATATTCAATTTGCCAGTATATGAATTTACTCAATATTTTAAACAATAAATCAATAAATTAAATTCAAATATTAAATATTTTAAATAATTTACTCTTTAACATTAAAATAAAATACTCAGCAATTATTGTTAACTACTTTATATGAATGAATTAGTAGAATAATGACTGAATATTTTTGGTTTGATAAATATAAAATAGAAATTGTTTCAATAATTAATCAACAATTTAAATTATTTATATTACTATATATTTACTTAAATTATAAAAATAAAATAATAATACAGTAATTATCAATGCAACAAATTTTTATGCAGTAATGACTACCGATAATATCAATTATTAAAACATAATTACATAATTTTAAAAATAATTAATATGTATTTGATATAATATTGAATAGTTTATTGACCATGCCAAGCTTTTTGCTTTAGTTTATTTGCAACAAATAAATGTTAGAATAATATATAATTTATGTATTAATTTTTAAAAAATTATTTGATAAATAGTACAGTAAATTCAACATATCATTAACATATTTTGAGTAAAACATTTAATGTATTATATTGTCACTAATTGAAATTAAAAAAGCAAATATTATTAATTTAGCATACATAAGTCTAAATAATATTATTTCTAATTAACTTTTACTATTATAAACTATTATTATAAATTATTTACTTAATTTAGTGTTATATTAAATTGAAAATATTTGAAAT